AAGAAAGAAAGAAAGAAAGAAAGAAAGAAAGAAAGAGAATATGAGGGGAAGGGAAGATCAAATGCCTCCCAGATGGTAGGAAAACATCATGAGGCAGTGAATTCCAAAGGTAATTTCTACCCTGGTCAAAGTAACCCCCTTTTCCTGGTTCCCCTGGTCTGCTCCCACCCAACCTCTTCCGAAGGGAAGGCCGAGGGAAGCTCTCCCAGTCCTTACTGGAAGTCAGAAGGCACGTCTGTGAACTGCCTGAGCAGGAACTCGGCCACATGGCCAGCCTCGAAAGTGGTCGGTATGACGACATAGCGGCCTTCTTTCAGGTCCGTCCTCAGGAAGACGCTACGAGAGTTGATGTAGATGGAGCTGGCGACCTTGGTCTGTAGGCTGTGCATTCGGTACGTCCGGTTGAGTTCCACCTGGGTGTAATTTTTTTAAAAACGAGAGAAGGAATTAGGAAAAGGATTATATCTGGGTTTCTCAGTCTTAGTGATTTGAAGATGGGTGGACTTCATCTCCCAGAAATCTCAACCTTTCTCAATCTTGACCACTTGAAGATGGGAGGACTTCAACTCCCAGAATTCTCAACCTTTCTCAACCTTTCTCAACCTTGATGACTTGAAGATGGGTGGACTTCAACTCCCAGAATTCTCAACTTTTCTCAACCTTTCTCAATCTTGACGACTTGAAGATGGGAGGACTTCAACTCCCATAATTCTCAACTTTCTCAACCTTTCTCAACCTTGATGACTTGAAGATGGGAGGACTTCAACTCCCAGAAATTCTCAACCTTTCTCAATCTTGATGACTTGAAGATTGGAGGATTTCAACTCCCAGAATTCTCAACTTTCTCAACCTTGACGACTTGAATTCTGGGAGGACTTCAACTCCCAGAATTCTCAACTTTCTCAACCTTTCTCAACCTTGAAGACTTGAAGATGGGTGGACTTCAACTCCCAGAATTCTCAACCTTCTCAATCTTGGTGACTTGAAGATGGGTGGACTTCAACTCCCAGAATTCTCAACCTTTCTCAACCTTTCTCAACCTCAGTGACTTGAAGATGGGAGGACTTCAACTCCCAGAATTCTCAACCTTTCTCAACCTTTCTCAACCTTGACGACTTGAAGATGGGAGGACTTCAACTCCCAGAATTCTCAACCTTTCTCAACCTCAGTGACTTGAAGATGGGTGGACTTCAACTCCCAGAATTCTCAACCTTTCTCAATCTTGACGACTTGAAGATGGGAGGACTTCATCTCCCAGAATTCTCAACCTTTCTCAACCTTTCTCAACCTTGATGACTTGAAGATGGGAGGACTTCAACTCCCAGAATTCTCAACCTTTCTCAACCTTCTCAATCTTGGTGACTTGAAGATGGGAGGACTTCAACTCCCAGAATTCTCAAACTTTCTCAATTCTGGGAATTGAAGTCCATGCATCTTCAAGTGGTCATGGTTGAGAAACACTACGCCCCAGTTAGAACCAGAACGGTCCATTCTGGCCACCTCCAAACATCTAATAAGAAGTTGGTCATCAAAGCTTACCTTGAAGATGTCAAATCCTATGGCCAGATTTTCTCCCTTCCCTTCCTTCTGGCTGGTCCGTTTGGGCTTTTGCTGGATGCAAACCAAGACTTCGTCTTCTGCTTTCTTCACATCAAAAACGTACTGGGCGAAAAAGAGAGGCACACTACGATCAGATCTTTAAAGTCAGTCAAGTCAACAAAACAAGGTGTCAACTCGTAAAGCATTCCTGACCTGCTCTTGAGTTGCCATAGGCAGGAGGGTAGGGGAGAACTGATGGAGAAGCTTGGTTGCTATGACCAGAAGCACATTCCGTGCATACCTTTCTCCAGGTTGTATCCCAGGGTTACTAGAGCAAGCCGGAGAGGCGTGTTTTCTACAGCCCCAAAAGTGCTCCATTGGAGAATGTGATTTATAACACACCTTGGGAGGAGGGGGGGAAACAGGGTCACAGGTGGGCAGTAAATTACATGGGGTAGAGCCGACTGCACTTGGGAAAGTGCCGACATGTCGCTCCTAATAAATAATTGGATTTCTTTTGAAACTTGGCTCGAGGCTCGTGAATTTTAATTGGGGCGTCCATCGGAACCCTGACACAAGGAGAGAAAAACAAATGCTAGAAGGTATAACAATATGGCTGGGGAATTCTGGGAGTTGAAGTCCACATATCTTAAAAGTTGCCAAGGTTGGAAAACATTGCTCTAATGCCTTTCTCGATCTCCCTCTTGACCTTCCTACCTGGGGGTTTTGCAGGAAAGTTTCCCGGTTGTTGACACAGCCTCCGCAACGGTTCTTCAAGGGGTCTTCATGTCGCGTCCAGGCACCCTTCAAGACGGCTTCTTCCCATGTCTTATGGATGCTCAGGTAGGACGTGTTGATCAGGCGGCATTTGATGATGTCAGTGAAGTATGTACAGAAGTCATCAAAGGCCATCCTAGGAAAAGGAGAACCGGACATTCAATTCTGGAATATCTCACCTTTAATTGGTCATCTTCCCTTGGCTATGCAAAGTGGAGATTCTCTATTCAAAAGCTTGCAATTGTTTTCTTCAGTGGGGCTAGAAGGAAAACACGTATCTTTCCTGTGCTTCCTCTAAGAAATATGATTTTTATTGACTGTTTCCTAGTAAGATTTGATTGCTTATTGTACTCTATGACTATTATTAAATGCTGTATCTTATGATTCTTGACTCTTGATGAATGTCTCTTTTCTTTTATGTACACTGAGAGCATTTGCACCAAGACAAATTCCTTGTGTGTCCAATCACACTTGGCCAATAAAGAATTCTATTCTATTTCTATTTCTATTCTTATTCTTATTCTATTCATATTCTATTCTTATTCTATTATATTATTCTATTCTTATTATATTCTATTCTTATTCTATTCTATTCTTATTTTATTCTTATTCTATTCTATTATTCTATTCTATGCTATTCTTATGCTATTCTTATTCTATTTTATTCTTATTCTATTCTATTCTTATTCTTATTCTCTATTCTTATTCTATTTATTCTATTCTTATTCTATTCAATTATTCTATTCTATGCTATTCTTATGCTATTCTTATGCTATTTTATTCTTATTCTATTCTATTCTTATTCTCTATTCTTATTCTATTTATTCTATTCTTATTCTATTCAATTATTCTATTCTATGCTATTCTTATGCTATTCTTATTCTATTTTATTCTTATTCTATTCAATTCTTATTCTATTCTGTTATTCTATTCTGATTCTATTCTATACTCCAGTTGGATTTATTTTAAAAGCACAGCTCATCTAAATGTACTAAAACTAAAACATACCATGAACGGTTGCAGGGACTGGGTTTGTGTCTAGTTTAATGAAAAGAAGGACCAGGATGACATGATAGCAGCCTTCCAATATTTGAGGGGCTGCCCCGAATAAGAGGGTTGTCCAGCCATCCTCCAAAGCACCTGAAGGACAAGCAACGGATGCAAACTCATCAAGGAGAGAAGCAACCTGGAACTAAGGAGGAATTCCCTGACAGTGAGAACCACTGATCAGCGGAACGACTTGCCACCAGAAGTTGTGGATGCTCCAACAGTGGAGGTTTTCAAGAAGAGAGTGGACAACCATTTGTCCGGAAGGGAGAAGATTCTCCTGATTAAGCAAGGGATTGATTAGAAGACTTCAAGGACGGTTCAGAAGACCCTAAACCATTTCAGACAAATAGCTGTCAAATCTTCTTGAAAGCTTCCAGGGTTGGAGCACCCAAGCTGTTCCACTGATTGATTGTTTTCACTTTCAGGAAATTCCTCCTTAGTTATAGGTTGCTTCTCTCCTTGATTAGTGTCCATCCATTGCTTCTTGTTTAGCCTTCAAGTGCTTTGGGGAATAAGTCAATCCCTTCCTCTCTGTGACACCCCTCAAGTATTGGAAGACTGCTGTCAAGTCATCCCTAGATGTGTCATTCAAGACCAGGGGTCCCCAAACTTGGCCACTTTAAGACTTGTGGACATTCAACTCCCAGAATTCTCCCCAGCCAGCATCGCTTGCTCTCTTGTAATCCCTTCCTCTGCAATCTCTCTCCACTTTAGGAGGTTAAGAGAAGAAAGAAACAAGACACGGCTGGCTGGGGAATTCTGGGAGTTGAAGTCCATAAGTCTTAAAGTGGACAAGTTTGGGGACCCCTGTCTTAAGTCTTAAAGTTGCTAAGGTTGGAGAGCACTGGTTAAACCATGTGGACTTCAACTCCCAGAATTCTCCCCAGCCAGCATCGCTTGCTCTCTTGTAATCCCTTCCTCTGCAATCTCTCTCCACTTTAGGAGGTTAAGAGAAGAAAGAAACAGACACGGCTGGCTGGGGAATTCTGGGTGTTGAAGTCCACAAGTCTTAAAGCAGCCCAGGTTGGAGATCCCTGATTTAGGTGACCCTTCTGGTCTCTTCCAACTCTATCATTCAT